ATGTCACCCTCCCCCCTATAACCTGTAGCGCAGTAGTTGAAACACTCACCTAGGATGTAGGAAAGCCATGTTCAAGCACATACACCCCACTGGACGTGGAGCTCAGATTTGAATGTGGGTGCTCTATCTCCCCTGGGCTATGGGGTATTCTAAAACCAGCTTCTCTTAAGCTCTCCTGCTGAAGCTGTTCCACTGTGTATAAATACTTAAATATTCATTAGACCAACAAGAGAGCTAGAATGGCTCTGTAGCCTGATGGTTAGGAAACACACAGAGGGGTTGAGCGGCCCAGGTTCCTATACCAATGAATATTGAAATATCTATATACAGACACAGCTTGAAAAGGACAAATGGTGGGTTTAGGTGACTTCAGTGTATGCCCTAGATTGGGCCCCAAAGGCAAGATAGGTGGTGGAATCCTACTGCTGGGCTGTGTCGGGACTTTAATAGCAGAAACATTTAATAGCAGCAGCTGAGCAGGGGATTGTGAATGCCAGTGGTGCCTAAATGTTGGCTGTTAAGTGCCTGTTCATTACATACAGATTCATAGAGAAGAGTGCCTGCTTATGAATCCATAAATGCTCCCATTCATGTACTGAGCCAGTCCAATTCTATTGAATTTATGGGACATCCGAGGAGCATAGTACAAAGCATCATGGTCACAGACAAGTCTCCAATCTACACTTTCCATTGGCACCCACTGATAATCATGTGCCTAATAGGTCAGAAATATAAGTAGCTGTCCATTTCTGATCTCAACACTGTTTAAAAACTCTTTTATCATAGGCATTGACTTAACTGTCTTTGCTAAGTCACTTTTATCCTTGATCTGTACCCAGAGGATCAATAGGCTCTGGCCATGCCAAAACAAAAAACAAAACAAAAAAACAAAAACATCACTTAGTATGCCAAGTACTAAAAGAGATAATAGAATCTCTATAGTTTGCATCTAGCCTCACCGAAAGAATACTGAGTAAGGGTTTATTGGAGACAGTATTAAAAACCATAACATGCACACCAAAAATGTAACACCAATGGTGTTTTTAAAATGTACGTAAATTGGCTTCTAGATACTAGGGGAAATAGTTTCAAAAGCACCTATGTGACTTAGGAGCTTAAGTCCTGTTTCCTGAATCAATGGGACCAAGGCTCCTAAATCACTCAGGCAAATATCTGTTCTCAGATTCCACCTGACTGGTAGTCTTCTCTCCCTCCTTTTGCTGAGATGTGTGGTCATGGAGAGCCCAATGGCACAGCAGAAAGGTGCTTTGTGAAACTAAGAGCAGAATTTTGTTCCAGGAACATAGAGAAATGCCCTTCTGAAAACAAAATTCTGTCCTCTGTTTTGAAATGCTTTCTTGAAAAATGGAATCCAATAAATAGAAAGCAATTTTTTTAAGAGTGACATATTAGAATTTTTTTTAAAGAATACAGTGAGGATGATGGACTTCATCCATCCACCACTGCCCAATAAAGGGGAATATTGAAACCCTGTCAGAAAGCTGAAGGACTTGTTTGATTCTAAGTTAGCACTCCCTTCAACAGCAGCACAAGGCTGATGTCTTTGGTGAAATCAATTTCTGATCCACGGCTGAGGAGGCTAACAGGCCCATGAAGTTTTCAGTTATGCTACTCTCCATCCCAGGGCTACTCCAGATTTATGGGTGTCGTTATAAGAGAAGATTACAGACAACAAACATAGACCTCCTCTCCAGCAAATATACTTGTATGTATTTAACAAGGCCAGTAAATGGCATGTAACAGCTGTAATTAAATTGATGTTTTCCTTGTCTGAGCTACATGCAGCTCTTGCAGCCAAGTGAATTAGTTCAGACACCCTCACAAAAGGTCCATTGCTATTGACTTCAATGGAATAGCACAGACATACATGAGGGCAGAATGGCAGGCACATACTGTATACACATACACACTCTCACCCATACCATAAATATTCACAGATAGAGAAGCACGAATACTTGCAAACATGCACACATATACATGTATATACATCAACACACATGCATATTTATACACCTGCACGTTGAAAACTTTCACACGTTCATAAACGTTTAACATACACCCATACACACAAACTTCAAACATATCGTGCACATTGCAGGCATACACACAAATACACACATAAACTTCACCCATAGACACACACATCACACATGCACATGTACACACACACAAGAGTCTCACACATATATACACATGCACACATTTGTGTACCCTTCACACACACACACACACACACACACACACACACACACACACACAATCCACTCCCATTACACACATGTATGCAGATAAAAGCTTCCCACATGCATAAGCACACATACCAACACACCTATTAGGTGCCCACTAACTCCCACACACAAACATTTTGCACACATACAAACACAATACATTGACACTAACGTGAAGTCTCATTTAGCAGCTCACACAAACACACACAAAGGCAGTGACTTGGGTTTAGCAGGCAGATTTAGCCAATGGCTGCCTTCTCTACAACGGGACAACTCCTTTCCGCCCCCTTCTCCCCCCCTCCCCTCGCCGCCAACATGGTTTGTTTCATCATTCATTCCAAGCCAAGTGTGAGGCAGATGCGAGGAGCTCTTCAAGGAGAAGGGAATGCGGCATTTTTCTGATCCATAATGGCAATTCCCTCCACCTGGCCCAGCCCCTTTCACCAATCCAGTCCGGAAAAAGAGCAAATTCTAAAAGACACGCTGCTTTTGTTTATGCCCGGATCTCTCTCCCTCCCCCTCCTGTGACTAGTAAAACGAAACAAAATTATCCCTTCTCACTGACGTTGTACTGCCCAGAAATAGGACCGTGCTACAAATGGTGGGAAGGAGGCAGAGGTCGCCTGGCGGCCGGTAGATGGCGCAAGTGCTCTTTCCTTGCCGAACATTAACCCTTTGGGCTGAGATACAACGTTGGTTTACATTTATTTGCAAGAATTCCCCCAATTTACATGTTTGTGGATACTTCAAAAAATTAAGACAAGTGTCTCTGTGATCTATGGACAAGGTGGCCACAAAGAGAGGAGATTAAACTGCAGCACCCATTAAAAGGGAAACGAGAGCAACATTTTGGAAAATGGAAAATTGTGCATTCTTCAAGGAGCAGATCTGCGTTTGTGTTTGCAAAAGCTCTGATCTTTGAAATATCTGCCTGCAGTTAATTCTGCCGTACAATGCAATACAATGGTTAGTTTTTTTTTAAAAAAAAATCTAGTGCAGCTCCAGGAGCAACACATGTTACTATGAAAGGTGTGTGCACCAATGTATTTTGTGTGTGTGTGTGATGTGTGAGTGGTGATGCTCACAGGCTTAAACATCACAGACGCATTTTTAATAATATGCTACGGATTATCCTGTCCAAGCGACAGCAGGATGGATGTATCTTGCTGCATTAGCTCCTAGATGTTCCTTCAGGCGACTATGAAAATCTCACTAGTGTATTATTTCTTGAGCTGCTTTCCTGGGCAGAATTGATCTTCTTGGAGGGGGGGGGGGGAGAAGAAGAACCTCAATAGCAAATACTGTTTGGAGTTGATTCGGGAGATTGTCTGGGCTTTTAAGATGCTCTCCCAGGGCTCCTGGGGGATGCTGTAACAAGCCAGAATTGTGGTGTTTTTTGATTGTGGAGGTGGGAGTAGCGGGGAGGGGTGGGAGAAGGAAAAAACACAATCGAGAGTAGCTGAGACTTTGTGCCCCTGTTGGAGAGATGGTTGAGTCCTCGTCAAGGTTGCTGTGGTATCCCAGAAACACCATTCACTCTGAGCTGTGACCGCGCACCATCAACAGCAACAACTCCACTGCGCCTGGCCAAGGAATAGGAATTAGGAGCTCTCCTGAATAATATGAAAGGGATCTGCAAAGGGGAAATCCGTGCAAAGGAGTCGAAAATAGCAGACTTTGGGGACAGGGGATGTACTAAATGTGGCCGGCTGGACTTCATGCTGCTGAAGACAATGGGGATTAAAAGTGGATTTACATTTTGGAACCTCGTCTTTTTATTGCTGGTTTCCTATGTGCAAGGTAGGGTGGTCTTTGGGGGGCATTTTGTAGCGGACCCTTTCCTTTCCGTCTGGGTGTTCGGAGTTCTCGCCCTTTACAAAGGTTTCACCGGGGGTACTTTACAATTTGAACAAATAAATGATAATTAAAGGGGGGGGGGGGAGAGAAGGAGCTGAATCAGAGCTCTCTTCTGAAATAGGAAATGCAATTGCTTGCCAGCCTTGGTGTTCAATGCAGTGACTGAGCTGAGGCTCAATAAATATTCTTGCAGTATGCTCAAACGGATACGTGAGTTGGTTCATATAGCCTCTAACTAGTGTATATTCAAACACAAGCCCACTGGATGACTTTTCTAGGGTGGTGGTGGGGGGATTACCTAAGATTATTTTTTCCCCCGGTCAAACAAACGGATTTTTGCGGGAATATCTGTAGCAATGCACTGATTAGTTTAACCATTCCATAAGGAAAGTTAGAGAGGTCCACGGTGTGTGTATGTGGGTGTGCGAGTGTATGTAATGTATCTCAAATACAGAAAGGCTTTTTCACACGCGTGTGTATGCAAACTGGATTCTTTGGCTGCAGAAGAGCTATGTTAAAAAAATCATCTTTGAAGGCATGATATGCCGTTGAGTCCAAAGATCGAGCCCCCTCCTCGTATCTTTGTCTCTCTCTCTGTGTCTTTTTTTTATTATTATTTTAATGCATGGCGGACAGGAAGAAAGTCTTTAGTTGAAGTATAAGGATCTGCGTTAAATCGTTGGGTGCAAACAGGTACAGGGAAATGGCATCACAAAAAGAAATGTGTCGTTTGAACAGTGTGCACCTCGAATATTAGGCAGACCTCACTACATGGGGAAGTGCTGACCTCCACCAAGTGTGCCTCCAGCAAAGGGATCTGCGCTGGGACTCTTCGCATCCTGCTGGCCATTCTCCGATCCCCAAATTAATCTCTTTGTTTGTGGATAATTCTTTAATTTCTGATTAATCCCCTGCTTACCCCCTGCGCCACACACACGCACCCAGAATGTCTAGTAGACAGTATCGATCCTCTCCGAGTTTGAAGACTGGGTTGTTGCCTATCGAGGTTGCGTCCATACCAACTGTATGGAGGTTTTTCTTGTTAAAACGGGTGCCTATTACCCTAAACGGCGATCTGGCTCTGGCTTTTATGAAACAGTTGATTGTAGAGCGTTGCAGCTGGTTGTTCCCACACAGAAAGCAGCTCCATTTGCATCCTATTGGAAATGATAATTCATGTTGTAGGGGTTTACCTCATCGCACGTTATCTCGACACTATATCTGATGCGCGGAAGCATGCCCGGAATTTTAATATACATTCTAATTACAGGAAGCTTTCCCTTATTTACGTACCTTGAAGCAAGCTGTTTCCAGATTGTTTGCCCATTTCTGAAACAGGTCTGCGCTTTGGCTCAGAGATCAGGACCAAACCATGTCATGTGGGACATTTTTTTAAAACAAGCTCATTAATAAATTCTCTGTGTGACGTGTTTCCATTTGAATGTCATCAGTTTGTACTCTACAAAACCGTATCACCCTGAAATACATAATGTGCCTGATAGAAGGCTATGCTGGTTAATGGATGACGCTGGCAGCTGCTATTGTGAAACAGTTGCTTTGTGAATTGGAGTCGCGTGGAGGCAGCATCCTACAAAATTAAAGACACAGACGATTTTTCCTGGCTGTGGGGTGCTGACCATGGCTTGAGTGTAAGTTTTCATAGCAGCTGTTGAATAACAGCTACAGTTGCCCTTGCGGGGAGGAAGGAAGAAGCACTAGAGATATTTAGTGCAAAGATTGTAGATCCTCGGGGCATCTGAGCATCAGAGAGATTTAAATTGGGTGCCTAAATATGGATTCCCTTGAGAGTGCCAGGCTGGAAAGTGTTGACCTGTGCTCAGAGCAGCATTGCACGTATTGTGAGCGCTGTACTTTTCCGTGAATGAATGTATTTTACCTTGATTTACATTTGGTGTCAGGAAGGTTCCCCTGCTCCCGGAAACCTTGGCAGGTGCACAGACTGAATATCTGCCTTTTGTAAGCGCTCCAGCTGTTGGAAAAAAGGAGACACCCAAACACCCAGCATTTTCCCACCCCACTGCTGCCAAGACCCCCTATCATGGTCCCTACTTCCCAGGCCCTTGTCCACACCACTGCCCTGCCAGGCCACTTCCTCCTTATCGCCCATTGACACCCAAGCCCACTGCTACAGTTGCCTAGGCCCCACCAGCCAGAACCTTTCAATTGCCTCTTCATCCCAAGCCTGCCTGTTTTATCAGTGTCTCGCAGGACGCTGTATTCCAGAAGTCTCTTTCTGCTCCTGTCTTTAGAGGTCCCGTGCCACTGCTGTCTGCCCTACTAACTACTGCCTCCTAAAGTATTGGTCCAAGGCTAATTCCATTATCTCTACATCTACTTTCCAAGCCCCAGCTTACTCGGGGAAACCTATACCCATGTCTGTGTCTATTTGTGGGTGTGGGTGTCCCCCAATTTTTTTGTATGTGCATTATGTGCACACATTCACAGTTTCTGGACATTTCAGATCTCGGCACCAATTTCCATCCCGCGCTTCTGTATTTCTACAGCAATAGCAGTGAAGGGTTAAATCTCCCAAATCCCTGTGCCTGCACGGTAAAAAAAAAAAAAAAAAAAAAAAAAAAAACAATAGTAATATGTATGTCAGAACTGCTACAGAGGGGCTGCAATGAGTGGAAATTGAGAGGAACTGTAGCTTGCACGGCTCACACAATCCCCTTTCAGGAGAAGGGGCATGCAGCTGGTCAATCGCCAAGTCAGCCCTCGCAGGATTGCAGGGAAATAGGAAAGCGAAGAAACGGCACCTTTGACAAGTGCAAGGAGGATGACTTCACAGATGTTTGCCATTGCCAAGCAGCGTCATCCCTGCCCCAGCTGCCAGGCTGGGAGACACGTTTCTGTTGGAGCGGCAGTGCGGTTTATCCCCTGGAAATGTGCACACTCCGATTCCCCTCCACCTTCCCACGCACCCTTAGGAACAGGAATAAACGAGAACGTCATTTAGGCAGGAAAAATACCAACTAATCTTTGGAGGAGCAGCGAGTCAATCCTCCCCGCCCAACTCCATCAGCCCTGGCAGCCCTTCCATGCCCACAAATGGTGCACGGGGCTGCAGCGGGTTTATCTGCGCGCTGGAGGTAAAGCCCTGAGCCCCCGGCTCTCCAGAACCGGCTCCTGGTCTGCTCGTGAAAATAACAGCCAGCAAGGGAACAACAACCCACCTCCTCTGAGCTGTCGCCCAAAGTCAGAAAGCCGCAAGCGCCCTTTGGGGTTGGGAACAAGGAAGCTTTCCCTGCGCTGGGGTTCCTCCAGGCTGGGCGGTGACTGGCTGAGCCAGGATCACTCTGAAAAGAAAAGGAAAAGAGAGAGGGAGAGGCCGCTGGAGATGGAAGGGGAAGGGGTCTCTCTGCCCCCTCTCTGGATGGCTGGGAGCTGGCATGGGGGACTAGTTAGGGAGAAGATGCGCCCTGTTTCTCTTTGCCAGCCCCCCCCCCCCCCCCCCGGCCCACGCGGCTCATTAGTTTCCCGTGCACTCTTTGCTTCCTTTTCCCGAAAAGATTGGCAGGGCTGCCCTGCATGCTAGGGCCATGAACTGACCCAGGGGAGGCTTTGGGCAATGAGCTTTTGGGGCGCTGAAGCGGATGATCCCTGCCAGATGATCGCTGCTGTGGCTGCAGTTCAGGGGGGAGAGGAAGGAGGTGGGTATTTACTAGAGACGGGACCACATCCCGGGGTCTTTCAGCGGAGCGGCCGCCGCACATACACCCCTTCGCGCTGCCCTCCTGCGCAAACACGCACCGCACAGCCCCGCGCCCCTTCCCGGAAGCTAGAGAAGTTGGCAATGACGGGCTGTACAGTTAACAACCCCCCTCCCGGGTGGGGAAAGCTCTCTGGGGCACTGTGCTTAGTGCGGGGCTCTGCCCCTTCCTCTCAAGCCGGGGGAAAGCCCCGCCCAGGAGAACTAGCTGACCCCTTCCCTGCCCCGGGGCAGTTTGGGCTTGTCACCTCACTGCCTTGCAGAATGGGCAGGAGCAACAGGCGAGCGCCGCCGCCGACTTGCCCTGAGCTCACGCAGGGGACCAGCCGCAGCGCCGGCTGGCAGGCAGGGGGCTGCGCGCCGTTACTTAGCAGAGGGCCCTGTGGGGCCAGCCAGCCCGGACAGCGCCCAGTCAATTATTCTTGCATCATTAGCCACCGTTTGGCTCTTCAGGCTCTAACGCGAAGGATACGCGGCAGGTTTTGCCTGTGATGTTTAGTATAGAGAAATAACCTGCTCTCCCACCCATGCTAGTTCCCTTCAAGGGCTCTCCTCTTCCTGGACCCATAGATGCTAGAACTAGGGGTGCTGGGGGTGCTGCGGCACCCCCGGCTTGAAGGGGTTTCCATCACATACAGGGTTCACAGTTTGGTTCAATGGCTCTCAGCATCCCCTCTGTACAAATTGTTACAGCACCCCTGCCTGGACCTGGCAAAAAGAAGCCGAATATAGAGTCCAATAAGTGCTGCCTTGCATCTTCAACCTCATTAACATGACTTTAAAGGACAAGCCTGGTTTAAGTCAGAGAAGAATTTGGAGGATATGTTTAACTGCACCCCCTCCTTTCCCAAAATCCCCATACATAAAATAACAGAAACTGCAGGCCTTGTCTAAATGTTGTTTCACTAATTTTTATCAGACATTAGATACGCACAGATCATGCCTGTGCAAGTGCATGGTGTGGTATAAAGTAGGGCTGTCGATTAATTGCAGTTAACTCGCGTGATTAACTCAAAAATTAATTGTGATTAAAAAAAATAATTGTGATTAATTGCAGTTTTAATCACATTGTTAAACAATAGAATACCAATTGAAATGTACTAAATATTTTGGATGTTTTTTCTACATTCTTAAATATATTGATTTCGATTACAATACAGAATACAAGTGGACAGTGCTCACTTTATATTATTATTTTGATTACAAATAT